ATAATTAGATAATAATTAACAAAGTACTTCGCAATGTCATGGCTTCATCATAAAGCTTAGAAAATAACTTAGTTACACATAGAAATAAAAATAAAAGAGACATAGAACCCGGAATCCATGGCAAAGCACTTCCCGAAGCTCTTCTTCACAAATTGCGGAGATGGTGAATGGTGTATAGTGTGGGTGATATAAGGGATGCGGGGGGTGATGGATCCTTAGAGAGAGATTAGGGACCTTATTTATACTAGAATAACCTTAAAAGGTTTGTGTTTGTATTTGTGTGGGTGGTGGAGGGTAACAAAAAAAAAAAAAAAAGAGGTCTGGGAGAAAGTCTCCTAAAATAAAACAAACTCCTAAACAATTAATGACACAAACTAGGAAAGAATCCTTCTTGACTTGGGAAACACGGAATCTTTCTTGCACGCCAGTTTTGGGGTTGATTTATCTTCTGGAAAAACCTGTAAAAATATGGGAAACGTAGCTTTATCTCTTATCTTTCCAGGCATATATCGCACTCCACTAGGAAAAATCGGGAAAGCCTCCAAATCTTCATTCTCCCACAGCTGCGCAGTTCTGACGGGAAAACAACTTCTGCGTGATTGATTTGTGAAACTGGAATGAATGGCTTCATGGAAAATTATCAAATTCGGATACAACGATCTTCAACCTCTTAGCTTCCTTCTCCAATTGGCCTTGCATCAAAACTCCTCTGGAAAGTCGAATTATCACCAAACACGTACTAAGTGCACAGATTGGCTGAAACTGAGAAAAGGAAAGTAATAAGGCTCTTTTATAATCAATTCCTTAACAAAACTTAGGATAATTTATATGAAAATATGATAAATAATGCACCTATCATCTTGCAATCCAAGAAACTCCTATGAAAAAAATAGAAAGACAATTGAAACGAATCCAAGTGCACGAACCAAACGGGACAATTGAGAAAATGAACAGAACCCTGATAGGATCGATGGGAAGAGAGCCTTGGAAGCGAAGGAGGCACTGAGATTTCAAAGAGAAGAGAGGTTGTTGAACTTAGGTAGGGACCAAATGTACGAGGAACAAGATTTAAGGAGCCCCCAACAGCCAGAGGTATTAAGAAACACATAGCACTTGAAAGTTTTTGCCTGAAAATGACAGACAACTTTCATCGCTTTTAACTCGCGGAAAGGCGAAAGCTGACTTAACACGTTGGCTGACAATCCAATCCAAAGTGAGTAAAACCCATATATCTAGCAAAAATCGAAGCAAGCAGTGCTTCGTTCCTATATGTTTGAGTTTTTTAGTGGAAATTTCCTTTCATCAATCTTATTTGTCCCACATTGATCAAGTTGGAAAGTTTCATACGTCTTATAACATCAAGTTCATTTTACAAACCGATTTGAAAGATGACCATGGAGAACAAAATTAGGCTTGGACCTTGGACTTTGATCAGGTGTGATAAGATGGGCCTCAGACTTTAATTAAATATTAAATTCAATAATTAATTTATTAAACTAATTTTGGATTTAGTTTAATCTTTTTTATTTTCAACATACTCATTCTTCCGGATGAAGTCCGAGAATGTCTAAAAAGGTATGAGGAAAAGATGAAGCCACACACTCCTTTATTGAACAGTCGTCCCCCAAATTCATACATGTTGCAAACAGGTATATTATTACTATATATACATGCATTTGCATATCAATCAAACACACATAAATCATTCTTCCTACGAATTATGCCAAATCCTATCTTCCTAAGAGAACTAGAATGACATTCGCCAGAAGTCAAGTTTTCCGATGCTGGGATCTTGACTTAGATCGTTGAATCCTAGTGAAACTTACGTCAATCAAACTACAAACACAAAGTAATGACAAAATTCTATTTCAAAGACATTGCCGTACGCAAGCCTTGATTTTTACTTTATCTTTTTAATATTAGTTTCATTTATTTATACTTTGTCAATATACTTAGTTGCCATTTATTTGTTTATAAGCTTATTCAATTTTATTTCTACATACATATACATATATTTGTCATTGATTGTTGGTATTATCCAACACTACATTGGCTTAGTCTTAGCATTGGAATTAACTGGGCCTGGACGTAGTTGTCCAACTTGATTGTGTTTTGCTTGGTAAGCATGATTAACACACGTGCTTATAAAGAATTGGACTATTCCTCGTATTCTTAATGGTTTTACGGTTCAAACTACACTCCCTATCATTCCGTGTGTGCTTAGAATATTACATTGTTGTGTCAGGGTTTAGCCCAAGTGGCGAAGAAGGATGGTGGGTACTAGGTTAGGAATAGGATTGGTCAATTGCTTACTCTAATGTAACCGGAAAAAAAATCACTGAATATTTTTATTTGTTTTCAAGATACATCTATGACGTCATATTCATTCAATATCTAAGTAAGTCATTGGATTAGCCCAAATAGTGAAAGATGGTGAGTAATGTGAATGTAACTATATCTGTGAAATTGTATACAGAAATTCTAGAGAGAGATAACAATTCAGAGAGAAGAGAGAGAGAATGAATGTTCTTGATATATTTCTTAATCACCAAGTAATACAAGAGGTTGAGATATTTATACACTTCTAACAACAAGGCTAACTGCCTTAAATAACACATCTTCTAATCTAATTACACATGTCATCATCCTATACATCAATTTCTATATTCTATCATCCCCCCGCAAACTCAGGCTGGGAGGCACGAAGCATGAGATTGGAACAGTGAATATGAAATAAAGGAGAACTCAAGCCTTTAGTCAGAATGTCAGCAAACTGCTATTTGGACGACACAAACTGCACAGAGAGGTGCTTCTTTGCCACTCGTTCCCGCACAAAATGAACATCAATCTCAATGTGTTTAGTGCGTTGATGTTGAACGGGATTAAAAGACAACGCAATGGCAGACAGATTATCACAAAACAACACAGGTGGAGAGAATAAAGGAACCTGCAAGAATACTAAGAGTTGCTGGATCCAGTCCAATTCTGCACATGTGCTACCAACACCGAATCCGGGCATCCTTGGTCACTCCCCAGTGCAGTCTTATGGCCATTCAAGTGTTTCCTTGGTGCAAACCTGTCAACTTTGTAATGCTGAAGGACACACCGCACCATTCTGCCGTTCTAAACCTTCTGACAGAGTTAATTGTCAAATCTGTGGCAAGCACAATCACACCACATGGTATTGTTTTTATAATGACAAAGGCCCTAATTTTATTGGTGCTCCCAGTCAGTTTTATCCGTCTCAGCTGCATTCCTCAAGCTTTGGTGCTCCCGGTTACAATGTTTCTAGTCAGCACTCTGCCATGAATGGACACCAATTCTCTCCTCAAGCTATGCATACTGTGATGCCTCAGTCTCCTTGCGTGGCATCTCATTCTCACTCTAATCCTCAAGTGTGGCTCACTGACTCTGGTGCTACCAATCACATGACTTCTGATCTCAGCAACTTATCTCTGGCATCTCCATATCCTACTTCTGAGATTGTCCAAACTGCCAATGGTGAAGGTTTGCTTGTATCTCATATTGGCAGTACTGTTCTTAATCTTTCCAACGTTAATTATGTTCCTCCAATGAAGCTCAATTCTGTGTTATATGTTCCGAAGTTAACCCAAAACTTATTATCTGTGCATCGGATCTGTTTGGATAACAATTGCTGGCTAATTTTTGATGCTTTTTGCTTCTGGATTCAGGACAAGGCCATAGGGAGGATCATTTACAAAGGAGTATGCAGTAATGGTCTATACCCAATTCCCTGTCTTTCAACCACTTCTCATGGATCCACCTCAGTACCGTTCCAAGCTAAAGCTCTTCTCGATCAGCACATTCACTCTACTACTTGGCACAATAGACTAGGCCATCCATCCAATTCTATTGTTTCTTTGATGTTAAAACAAGCTCATATTCCCTGTCCCAAACTATCCTTACCTGTCATGTGTTCTAGTTGTTTGGAGGGAAAATTTTGTAAACTTCCTTTTCCTCTAAGTCCCAATAAGTCTGTAAAACCCTTTGCTATAGTTCATAGTGACCTTTGGGGTCCAGCCCCTTCTGTTTCTATTGTATACAGAAATTCTAGAGAGAGATAACAATTCAGAGAGAAGAGAGAGAGAATGAATGTTCTTGATATATTTCTTAATCACCAAGTAATACAAGAGGTTGAGATATTTATACACTTCTAACAACAAGGCTAACTGCCTTAACTAACACATCTTCTAATCTAATTACACATGTCATCATCCTATACATCAATTTCTATATTCTATCAAGTAATATATTAGAATTAAAGATAGGTCAAATAATCGATTCCTCAAATGTAACAAAGAAAAAAAAACTCAATATTTCTTTTTCTGCAAGCCAAAAAAACCCAAAATTTCAGCACACAGGTTTTGCCAAATATAGCAAAAAAGGTTGTTGTGAGCCAGAGTTCGAAACAATAGATTTTCTTTGAAACCAAAACGAGAAAAATATCCATTGTTACAGCTTACAAGTCTAAAAAGCAGTTCTAACGAACAAGAAAATTCATGGCACAAAAGATTGGAGATTACTGTCATCTGCAATGATGATCAGTTCATTTGAGTACAGATAAATGTTATGAGGAACCAATGATACAACAAACCCACTTCTCTTTGTGGTCGGTGACCACAACTAATTCACCTTTAAGAAAAATTCAAATTATTCGTACAAATAAAATAATTCAAATAATTCAAATTATTTGTCCCATAGAACAGCGCGTTCCACCCGATTTAAGAGCAACAAATGTGGGATGGAACACCTCGTCCCACTCTGTTCCGTCCCGTTCCACGTACCAAAAGGTACCTTAAGTACAGAGAAATGTTATGAGTAACCAATGATACAACAAACCCACTTCTCTTTGTGATCTGTGACAACAACTAATTCACCTGTAACCGAAATTCATATTATTCGTACCAATAAAATAATCCAACAACTTCACCTCTTGAGTTTGGAGCAGTCTCAACCACTCCATGTGACAGCCTCCTCTATATCAAGACCAACACATGTTGCCAACCATCGTACTTCCGCACGAAAACTTCAGCGTTCGATCCTTAATCCAGCAGATACCAAAGTTTCAGGATGTTAAAGCAGACATTTTCGTCTATTTCACCGTACTGCTGATTGCAAACATGCAGACAGCAATACCACTTTTGGCTGCAGTTGAACCTGCAGCTGTTGGCAGCGAACCAGTTCTGGAAATATACATGCATGACATTCTTGGAGGGAGTAGCCCTACGGCTAGGCCAATCACTGGCTTGCTAGGCAATATATACAGCAGTGAAGTGCCCTTTGCAAAGCCGATAGGGTTCCTTCCTCCAGACGGTGGTGTGGCTATCCCTAATGCCAACGGTGCCATTCCAACTGTGAATGGCGCCAATGGTCTCCCACTAGGAACCGGCTTATCTGGTACATCCTTCGCCGGAAATCCTAATGGTGAAAAGAATGGCAATACAGCTACCCAACTGGCACCAGACGGGTTGGGACTAGGCTTTGGGACAGTCACCGTTATTGATGACATACTGACCTCTAGTCCCGAATTGGGTTCACAGACAATTGGGAAAGCTCAAGGAGTCTATGTGGCAAGCTCTGCGGATGGATCAAGTCAGCTGATGGCATTTACGGCTATGATGGAAGGAGGGGAGTACAATGATAACCTCAACTTCTTCGGAGTGTACAAGATTGGGAGTAGCAAGTCGCAACTGTCAGTGACTGGAGGGACAGGCAAATTCAAGAATGCCAATGGAATTGCAGAGTTGAAACCACTGATTCCTCCAGGTCAACGAGCAACAGATGGTGCAGAAACATTGCTGAGGATTACCGTTCACTTGAAGTACTGAGGATGTCTGGTCTGTTGTCTGGATTTGAATGTGATATATACAGTGTCTGTGATTGTATTAGCTACAGGTGTATGTTGAGTATCTCTAAATTGTAATCTTGTGTTTAACTGTTGTTGTAAAGTATGGCAATGCGGCAATGCCTAATGAAAGGGACCTATTTCCGGTGATCTTCCTACCACTGAAGGCAAGGAACAAAATCAAATAGAGAAGGACGTCGACACTTTGTAGATCATTAAGTAGGGCTTGGATATTCTAGTATTCTACCGATGAGTTTAACAATGACAGGAACCAAATTTACTCAGTATCAATCTCAACAGCAGTAATATGTTGTGTTGATGCACAAAATCAATGGGGACTTTGGTACAACAAAAAGTGTTAAGTTTGTGACCTTCGCTAGATTGCTCCGGTCACTAGTGTGGATAAGTATGTAAATGGATAGGGACAAGGAAGCATGTTAGAGTATGAGTGTGATTCTCACAGTTTAGTAATAATCATTGTTATTTCAGATTGGTATAAAGAGGTCTTAATGAGTTTATAAGAGTTAATTCAACTTTGGTTTGGATTGAAACTCTACCGTTGGCTCGAAAATAGAACTCATACTTATACAAGGATTTGGTCTTGTATTCCTTGTAGGATTGTAATAGGACAATCTATATTTAGTATAAAAACATAAGTCACTGCTCTCACAAAACATACGCTCAATATTAAACTAAGACCTATTGTTAGTTTGAGTACTTTTGGTTTTGCAAGAGAGGAGAAGGCGCACTGTTTAGAAGTCGGCTTTGACTTCTTCTACTACTATTTTTACAAGTTAGTTTGTCATTGTGTTTATCGAATTGTGATTTTAATACTTGTATAAATTTGTGGTTCTTGAGCTTAATCTCTTAACTTATATTTTTGATAAGTTTAGTCTTACATGTGGTATCAGAGCCTAAGGTTTTTGCTCTTGAATTCAAATTGACAGTATTAAAATCAAAGCAATAATAGGCGTGATGGTTTAGCCGGAATTGACCTTGGTTTGCAAAGAAATTTCTAGGGTTTTAAGGGAATAAAAGTGACGATGTTTTTACTTGTAGGAATTTTATATTATAAGTCAAACTCATATAAAAGTTTGTGAAAATATAAGTCAAGAGTCAATTGTCACAGGGTCCTTTTGTTATTCAGTATTAAAATTGGCTATATACCAGGATATACGTATAGGGTTGCTGTAAGGGCCGAATTATTTAGTCGGTCAATATTGTCTCTTTTAAAAATCTCCGGATGGTACCCATCTTTGGACATTGATCTGGCCACAAAATCACCCGACACATTTATAATGTTTTTGTGAAGATTAATCTTGTATTGCTGATACATGTCCTTGGGATCAAAACGTTGCGGCAGTACATCGTTTGTGCAGCTGTCGAAGCAGCATGTTTCCATGTCCATGGAATCCTCGTTTGCACTTGTGTACCCTTCCCTGCAAAACAAATCATGCTACATGTACCCTTAAAAATCTGCAATGTTTTAGCAAACTAAGTCTTTTATATCAAGTCTGTCCATTTGGTTTTCGAAGAACAACTAATACGACATCGTTTGTAGCATACCCTTTTAAGTATAATTTTATGCCTGTTGGCTACTTAAAAGACAAAGAATAGGGTTTTGTTTTTCAAATTTTTGACCGTTAGCAATCTGAACAAGGGGAGAACTTGCGATTCTCAATCTGGGTTGGAGATTTTCTTCCCACCCCTGCATAATTGAAGGTGTATGTATCAAATTAGTAAATTATATCTCTATTTAAACATCATAATTTTAATTTTGAATACATTGCTTCCGTGCAGTTGGTTATGATGTTTGTAGATTGAGATAATTTTGGTTTATTAATATTAATCCTCCTTGTATTATTAGCATAATGAATAAACTTGTATTTTGATATGCTAATTGTGTTATTAAGAACCATTGAACAAAGATCATGTTATCTGCATAATGAGATTATATGATTATTATGGTTCTTCATGTTGACGTTAACTTGTTCATCAATCTATTGTTGCAATGGTACGAGGTCCATGGGAATTGGGAATGATGGCAATCTGTATGGATGGGTCTTGAGCATTGATGGATAATTTGTTTCGTTGATTTGGAGCCGAGGAATTGCAATCGGGTTGTCGAATACGGGTCCAATGATGCATTCAGATACAAATCTGCTAGGGAATTTGCAAAGCTTGGGGGTTTGGATTAAAGAACTTGACGAGATAATGAAGCAAGGGTTTATTTCAAAATGGCATCTCAGTGCTTCCAGAAGGCACTAAATGAGGAGCCGGGAAAGTATATGTATTGCAAATCTTTCGAAGTGGCCGCTAAGGTGCACTGCTCTCTAACTTGACCTCCTAATAATGCTTGGTTTTGTTGCTGAAATTCTGTGTTGGCATCCATTTTGCGGTAGCAAGACGTGTAATTATTTTTCTGGCTTCATGATTCTCATGTAATCATCAAAAATGGTTTTGTTTTGCTTTCATGGGAAAACATGAAGATAAGTTTTCCTAGCCATGTCGTGATAATGATTAATTGAGAAGCAACAAAATAAATGCATATATATAGTGGATGTCAATTGCTTTGTGATTTATACATAATAGCATATTTGAATGAAATCTGTATATATATGGAGATAGCATTCGTGCATAGACTTTGTAATTATGGGCATGCGGTTTTATCTATATCAAATAGAACTTGCATAAGTTTCTCTGAATATTGATGCATACATGCATACAAGAAAATATATGAACAGATGAATATATAAGGTAGATGTTTTATTGACCGGCCATAATGAGTCTCGTGACAATAAACTTTTAGCCATTTACAAAATATATATTCTATTATGAATCGGAAAGCAAATAATTATTTTGTCATCTTATTGGAAATTCATAAGATTAATGATATGTAGCTATCATTATTTTCTCCAAGGACTTGCGTACGAATCTGTATATAATTGATGATGGTGTTGACAATGAATTAAAGGCATGAAGATTTTTAATTTGGATTATTGTCGACTAATCTTATCATGTATATATCGATGCATGCTTATTGTATATGTATATTTGTGATTTCATGATGCATGCTTCCGCTATTATATTTTGGTTGAAATCACAAATAGGGAGGAAGACGAACTTCGAGTTCTCCAGAAGAAATACTGGTCTTGATTATCTCGTTTTAATTAAGATATATTGTTGTGATATATATCCAAACATTATCAAATTTTGGTTGATCTTGCTCGATGGATATTGAACTAGTTAAGATCAAATTGAATGCAAAAATATTGTGTTTGCTATTCTAATTTTGATCATTGTTGAAACTGGTGATTTTGGGTTTATGTGAGATAAGTTTTCCGAATGGATTGTGACTATCTTTTGATACATAGACTGTTTTGCATAATGGTTTAGGTTTATATGACTAAACTGAGATTATGCAATAGGTAAGGAATCGGGAACCAATTGGTTCATATCTCCGATTTCTTTATCGACTGTGCAGTATATTCTGCTTATGCTTTAAGTGGGAGAATCATATGTTCGAATGTAAGCATAAGGCTAAGAGTATTTAGGCCGGCCATTATAATTCATATGGATGCTTAAAAACCAGTTTATGGTTTTATTGAAGCAATTGGTTGAATTATTTGTGTTACTTAATTTGTTTAAGTAATGAGAAGGATCATATTATGTTAGCATTCAAAAAGAAACGAATTTGGTTTCCATATGGATTCTGATTAGTCATTCGTTGTATTGGAATGATTTTAGTTAATATAGTTGCTATTAACTTGTACTTAACTTGGTTGTGTTGAGTATGGCCTAGATAAGTGGGAGCAAATTGGTTTGGTTTTGTTATATTGGTTCACATAATTACAAAGTGCAAATTAAGTATGTTGTGACTTTTGAGTTAATTCTGCGATGTAACAGAAAAGATTCTTAAGTTCAATACTTTAAAATGCATAGGTAAGTTGTATGTGAGGTTAAACTTTTGTTATCCAAAAGATTTGGTGGCTATATGAGTGGGAGTAGACGTCTTGGTTTACTTTTGAGCTTAGATACATTGCTATGAACATGAACTGGACATTGTGATTTATAAGTTAAATCTGTATTTTGTGTTGCAGAGGTAATTATAAATTCATTGTTTTGGTTTATGTAAGCTGGTTGTATCTATGTACTAGTGTGTTGATGAATGACTTATGCGATCACCTTTATATTGAATTTGAGATGATTATTTACTGTTGTGAATCATACTCAAGTGGGAGAATGTTAGAGTATGAGTGTGATTCTCACAGTTTAGTAATAATCATTGTTATTTCAGATTGGTATAAAGAGGTCTTAATGAGTTTATAAGAGTTAATTCAACTTTGGTTTGGATTGAAACTCTACCGTTGGCTCGAAAATAGAACTCATACTTATACAAGGATTTAGTCTTGTATTTTTGTAGGATTGTAATAGGGCAATCTATGTTTAGTATAAAAACATAAGCCACTGCTCTCACAAAACATACGCTCAATATTAAACTAAGACCTATTGTTAGTTTGAGTACTTTTGGTTTTGCAAGAGAGGAGAAGGCGCACTGTTTAGAAGTCGGCTTTGACTTCTTCTACTACTATTTTTACAGGTTAGTTTGTCATTGTGTTTATCGAATTGTGATTTTAATACTTGTATAAATTGGTGGTTCTTGAGCTTAATCTCTTAACTTATATTTTCGATAAGTTTAGTCTTACAAAGAAAACACAAGATGTACGTGATTCACCCAGATTGGCTACGTCCACGGAGTAAAGGAGTTCTCATTAATTGTGAAGGGTTACACAATTACATAGGTTCAAGTTCTCCTTTAGTGAGTACTAGTGAATGATTTAGTACAAATGACATTAGGAAATATTGTGAGAGAATGATCTCTATTTATAGAAGAGAGTTTCTAGTTTCATTCTGACATTGACACGTATCGTGTTGTGATTGACTTCTGATGTTGACACGTGTCGCGCTATGATTGGCTTCTGATGTCGACATGTGTCGCGCTGTGATTGGCCTCCTGGTTAGAGGGAAATTCTTCTGGGTCCTTGATGGTATAACGTTGACCGGTGCTCAGTAGTTTCGGGATTGGTCAAGTATGGTACAAACATGTTGTGTTACGCTGTCCTTCGTGCAGAGTTTCCTGATTGTGATATGT